AAAAAGAAAAGGACTGTACTGACGAGCAAACTAGAACAGACAAAAAGTCTTACAAAAAGGCGTTCCTGAAAAGGACAAGAAGTTCTATGATTTTTAGAAATTCACTAAAGGTTGGAATAAAGTATTAGGCGTTCTTGAGACGTACACAATATGTAATAATTTAAATAATTGCAGGTATAAGTTTGTTTAAAGATACCATTTGGCCATCACAGTTTGAGGATTCTTTGCGTGTGAACAATTCTAACATGGCGGCAATGTGGCCAACATTGACATGACGATTATTTTGACGTACAAAATAAACTTTCTATTATTTACATTACATTAAAATAGACATTATACATAAATGGAGTAATTTATAAAAATAAAAGTAATTTATAAAAATATTCCTGTTGAGATGATAAGATTGAAGATGATTATCAAAACCATATCAAAACATTTCTTTCTAAAATGTTACGACGGGAAAAATTCCTAACCTTATGCTGCAAGTATCACCTTAAATTAGTTAAATTTAATATCATTGATTAAAATACATGATTAATTAGTACACAACTGTTTTCTCTGTTATAATCAGGTAAAATATCTAATAATGTCAGAAGAAAAAACTACCTCGATTAAAATTGAACCACTAGAATATTCAGCAGAAGATCCTCAAAATGAAGAGGATATTAAGTCTGAATCTTGTTCAGAGAATGGAGAAACATGTCTGGAAAGATTTATGAATTCTAAAATAACTGTAGAGGAAGAAATCAAACAGGAATTAATGCAGGCTCCTATAAACCCTTTCGTATGCACAATATGTGATAATGCATTTGCTTTAAGACACCATTTAGATCGACATATTATTGCTCATAACAGAGAACTGCCAATTCATGCCGGAGAACTTCTTTTGAAGTGCAAAATATGCAACAGAGACTTCCATTCATCAAAAGGTTTGAAACGACATATGTACACTCATACAACATATTGCTCATAACAGAGAACAGCCAATTCATTCTGGAGAACTTGCTTGCAAATGCAATATATGTAACAGAAACTTTCGCTCACCAAAAGGTTTGAAACGACATATGTTCACTCATACTGGAAAACAGCAACATATCTGCAAAATATGTGATAAAACATTCACACGATTGATTCGATTAGAGAAACACATGCTTATTCATTCTGAAGATCTTCCTTATAACTGTGGAATATGTAACAAACTATTTCGTTCCGTATATAGTTTAAAAAAACATATGACTAATCATTCTGGAAATTTTCTTCAGAAATGTGGAATATGCAATAAATCATTAGCACAATCTGATGCTTTAAATGCACACAAGTTTATCAATTCTAGAGAATTTCCTTATCAATGTGAAACATGTAGCAAATCTCTTCATGCATCAAAAACTTTAAATAACCATAAAGCTCAAAATATAAAGTATATGAGAAGAGACACTTGGGTGCTCATGTGAAAGCCAGTGAAATATTTATAAACGGTTATTTCTGTAAACCTGCTCTAATTATTGTGATTATTCTAGTATTGTTTAAATTGATGTACACATTTATATATTGATCATAAGCTTTTAGGACATACAAGCACTTGGTTGTGCATTATAATTAATTTAATTACAGATTTTTTAGTGATATCAGTTCATGCAACTTGCCTCAAGGCAAAATGCTACTTACATCTAGTAGTTTTAGTTAAATTATATATCGATTTTATTAGCAATAATATGTTATTTAATGTGTCTTACTGTGATTGTCAATTTTAAATTTGCCTCATTTACAAATTTTCGTTATATTGTTCTTGTGTTGGCAGCATGTATACATTACGATTTTCATTGTTATGACATGACAGAATTGGCATCACTGGAAGGCTTTTGATATCAACATTCAACAAGACGTTTGTAACCTAGAAGCAAACTTTGCAATAATAATGTTTAATAAATTTATTTTTTAATATTAAATTTGTATATTTAAGTTTTAATTTAGTCAAAAATGAAGAAAGAACGTTCAGTGGATAATTCCAGACCGTTTAAATTATAAGTAGTCTACCAAGTTTTCATTTGCAGGTGTTTAGATATATAAATTCATTAAAAATATTTATTTTACAGCTCATCAAATATTAAGTTTGACTGGTATTAGCTTCGAGAGGAAGAGCATAATTGTAAATATTAAATACAAATAATTTTCACTTTATTTTATCAAACTACAAAAATTTGTGTACTCATTTTTATAATAGGGCTTCGTGGAATTGACAATAGTACCTTTGAAAGACAATTTGAGAAGCATTAAACTAAATGCTAAGCAATGTAGAATTTATAGAGTCACATTAGGCGATTGTGAGGCTACTTTTCAATATTTTGATCCCTTTTTGGATATCTGCAAAAATGATTCAAAGACGTAAGTTGTTCTATGTTTTTACCCATAATTATCAATTTCTACTAGTAGGATTGTTGATAAATATCCTTTCTATTACCAGGAGGTCTTTTTGAGGTATTTTCCAAGTGTCACTTAGCGGCTGCTCAAAATATAGATCCTGATTGTAATGCAGGAGAATTATTTATCAATGTGCCCCATGAAGCAAGCCATCTCATTGGTGAAGGTAGAGGTTTAAGAGTTGGAATAGAATTTTCTTTAGAGCAACCTCAAGGTGGCTTGCATTTTGTTGTGCCTGAAACTGAAGGCACCATGGAAGAGGTTTGTGAAAGAAAATCACAATATAACTGGCAGTATTTTTATGATTGTTTTTTTTGGAGGGCAGCTCATATGTACACCTATGCACATGAAAACTCATCAAGACTCTGGTTTCCTTGCGTGGATTCTTATGCAGAGCCTTGTACTTGGAGTCTTGAGTTTACTGTTGACGCAGCAATGACAGCTGTCTCTTGTGGTGATCTTGTAGAAATTACTATGACGCCTGATATGAGGAGGAAGACTTACCATTATGTTTTAAATACTCCTGCTTGTGCTCCTAATATTGCTTTAGCTGTTGGGTATGGACTAGATATATCAATATTGTATTATTTATCAATAACTTTGTGCTTTTTTTTTCATTCTAGACCTTTTGAAACTTATGTGGACCCCCATATGCACGAAGTGACCCACTTTTGTCTACCACAACTAATGCCATTATTGAAGAACTCTGTTCGATATATGCATGAAGCTTTTGAGTTTTATGAGGAAACTTTAGCTACAAGATATCCATATCCTTGTTATAAGCAAGTTTTTGTTGATGAGGTGAATAAAGTTTCTTTAGAATTTAATTTAATTTATAGATTGTAAAATAAATCCCCTTTTATTCTTTTTAGACTGTTCAAGATGTAGCTGCCTACACTACCATGAGCATTCTGAGTACTCATTTGCTTCATTCCATAGCTATAATTGTACAAACTTATATAACCAGGAAAGCAATGTCTCAAGCAATAGCTGAACAATTCTTTGGCTGCTTCATTACTATGCAGAGCTGGTCTGACACCTGGCTCAATAAAGGAATTGCTGAATATCTATGTGGGTTGTACTCGAAGAAATGTTTTGGAAATAATGATTACAGAGAGTGGGTTAGACAGGAATTGTTGGATGTAAGTAACAGATTATATTGTCATATTACTTTGATGTATTATTTTACATTGTTCTGGCTTTTAGGTTGTGGCTTATGAAGAACAGTATGGTGATATAGTTTTGGATCCCAGCCAAGCGCCTGCACCTCTTCCTGTTGCCGCTGCCTCTGGCACATCTCCTGTAACAGGTGCTGGAGGGCCCCAAGGACGAGGAGGCAATCACCATGCTACAGTGGCTCAAAATAATGGACAGAATGTACACCATTTCCCTACCAGAAGTCTGCATACTATGTCACCAAAGTATATACAGGTATATGATCACACGCATTTTATTAATGTTGGATGCATTTTATTAATGCATTTTTTAGGCAATGAGAAAAAAGGCTCATTTAGTCATTAGAATGTTGGAACATCGGATTGGTCAAGAATTACTGCTGCAAGTGTTTAACAAACAATTAGCTTTGGCTACGAATGCTTCTACACAGAAAATTGGTAAAATACATTTAATTAACTTATTACATATTATGATTTTTGTTTATATTCTTATATTTAAGGCAGTGGATTATGGCATCATATGCTAATTTCTACAAATGTCTTCACAAAAGCTATATTTACTGTTACCGGCAAAGATATGGCTGTTTTTGTTGATCAGTGGGTGAGGACTGGTGGACATGCCAGATTTTCGCTGACATCAGTTTTTAATAGGAAAAGGTGATAATCAGAAATCTTGCCATCTGTTTTCTGCATTAATTAAAAAGTAAATGAATTTTCTCAATTTAATTCCTTTTTAGAAATACTGTAGAGTTGGAAATTGGACAGGATGCAGTTAGTCAAAGAGGTATTAGAAAATATGTTGGTCCATTGCTAGTTACTTTGCAAGAACTTGATGGAACTTTTAAACATACTTTACAAATTGAAAATACAGTTGTTAAAGCTGACATCACTTGTCATTCCAAGAGTCATAGAAATAAAAAGAAAAAGATTCCTTTGTGTACAGGAGAAGAAGTTGATATGAATTTGAGCGCTATGGAGTAAGTAAAGTAAAGTTATATTTTCTGCTTTTATATCCATATTGATATATTTTTTCTTTCACAGTGATTCTCCAGTTCTCTGGATTCGCCTGGATCCTGAGATGACTCTTCTTACTTAGATCAACTCAAATCGACCAGCCAGATTACCAATGGCAGTACCAGTTGAGACATAAGCGTGATGTCATTGCTCAGATGGAAGCGATTGATGCATTGGAATGCTACCCAACTCCTGCCTCGCGAATGGCTTTGATTGTCACTATTGAGAATGAGCAAGCATTTTATAAAGTTCGATGCAAAGCAAAGTTGGGTTTTGGGGCACTCGTATAAGTAACACTGTCAATTTTTATTTCCACGAGTCTCAGAAATGCTCATGGCATTTGTCCTCATGGAGTAATAAGATTTTTAATAGAACTATTCAAATACAATAACTCAAAATCATTACTCAGATTGTTACTATAGAGCTGCATTGGTTGATGCTTTGGGAAACACAGTTACACCAGTTGTTTCTATGGTGCACCAGGTTAGTATAATTGATATATATATATATATATATATATATATATATATATATAAATTAATATTTATTTATTTATCATAATATACGTTTTTATATTTCATTCTGCTAAATTTCAATCATTTATATTATATCAATGTTTATTTTTATTTCTAGGGTGCTCCCATAACTGCAGAATCACTATCTGCAGACACAAAACTGGTTTTGGAAGAAATCACAAGAATGCTAAATTTAGAAAAGGTTCTGCCTTGTTATAAAAACACAGTATCCGTGTCTTGCTTGAAAGTTATCAGAAAATTACAAAAATGTGGGATTTGCCAAGCAGGCCTACATTAAGGCATATGCAGAATATGGACAGTATATAGGTAGTTTCAAATTGCCAATGATTGATTTATTATAGAACACATTTTTACATTTTGTCTTTCCTTAGATGTTCGATTGGCAGCTCTAGAATTCCTGGTGGATTTTGTTCGAGTTGATGGCAGGCGAGATGACTTGAACAAACTTTCAGATGTAGTAGAGACAAATAGAGACCCCAGGGGTCAGACATGCTCTCGTTAGAATGCTAATTGATAAACCGCCTTTTGAGAAAGGACACAGGCATAGGTGGGATACGAAGGATTTGGAATAATATCAAGTAAGATTAGATTTGTATATAATACATAACTCTGCAATGGTTAATGTTTATTTATATTTTCAGTGGCATGTTGTCTCATGATACAAGACTACGTTGTGATCTGGTAGATTTATATTTTGCATTGTATGGATCTAGAAGACCTCAATGTCTTCAAAGCAATGAAATGTCTAACTTGGTTAAACCTCAACGAGTATCAAATTCTAGGCCTAGAAGTCCACATTTTGGAGGAGAGGTAAAATAAAATAAGCATTATCTCTTAAAGCAAATTGCTGGAACTTCATATATAGTAATTTAAAAGTTTTAAAAGCTTTAAAGTTTTAAAAGCTTTATGAAAACTAGACTTTCCAACTTTAGAATATTTTGATTTTTTTATTATTTATTTTTAAAATATAAAAAACTTAGAAAACTGCATTGTCTACAACATCCCCTTACACATTTATACTGTTCAACACACAGAAATCTAAATATACTTACTTAATATAAAATTTTGTACCTGCCACATTTTACTTCAGTACTTCTAATATTATTCTTAGTATTCAAAACCAAATATCTCTTAAACCGGTTAGTTTAACAAAAATTTGCAAAATACAAAAAATATGCATAATTCAATTGCCTACAACATCTCCTTACACATTTAAACCTTATAACACAAACAAATCAAAATAAACATACTTATATAAAATTTTGTATCTAACATATTTTACTTCAGTACTTCTAATATTATTTTTAA